CACTGTACAACAAATCATGGAGCTCTTAATTTAATTTCTGGTAGTCTGTATTGTAGCTTCATTGTATTCTGTCACTGGGATATAACTTACTTATTTAACCAGTCACCTGTGCTTACTGCCAATATTTTGCAATTACAAATGGTGCTGCAGTACAATAATCATACCATGTCATCTCCCTTGTGGGTTAATGCATCTGCAAGATAAATTTGAAAAGTATGATTGCTAAGCCAAAAGGTACATAAATTTAAAATTTTAATGGATATTGCTAAATTGCCCACCCAAGAGTTTTGTTAACTTATATTCCTATCAGTAAGTAATAAATCAGAAGGCCACATGTGTCACAGCCTCAACAGTGCATTACTGTTTTCTTTTTAAGCTAACAGGTGAAGCTGATCTATCAAAATCATTTTGATTTATATTTCATTATTATGGGTAAGTTCAAATTGCTTTTTGTGTTTGAAAGCTATTCATATAGCTTTTTCTGTATTTTTTTGTTTGTTGTTTGTTGCTATGGTCTCAGTATTTGTGTAACCTCAAAATTCATACTTTGAAATCCTAACATCCATGGTGATGGTATTAGGGAGTGGGGATTTCAGGGGCTGCTTAAGTCATGAGAGATTAGTGCCCTTATAAAATAGGCTCATGGGAGCTTGTTGGGTTTTCTACCACGTGAGGGGATGGCTAGAAGCAACTGTCTGTAAACCTATGGCTTGATGTAAGACTTCCCTCCAGAACTCTCAGAAATAAATTTCTGTTGTTTAGAAGCCACCCAATTTATAGTTCCAGCTAACCAAAACTCAGGCATTCTCCCATTTTGGGGGTTAGATTTTTAGAATATTTCAGTTCCAATAAGACATTTATATATTATAAATGTTAGCCCTTTCATATGAATTAGAAATATTTATCTTGCTTTGCTATTTGCCTTTGCTTATACCTTTTTTGTGTTTGTGCAGAAGGTTTTTATATTTATCTATTTGAATTTATTAGCCTTGTTTTGAGGATTTGGATTATTTGTCTTAAATTAAAAGGCTTTCCCTATCCCATGTATATTTAAATTTTCTCCTGTTTTCACTCTGGTATTTTTGTATTTTTCTCTTTTTTTTTTTCTACATTTGCATCTTTTCTTTGGAGTTTATTCCACTGCACTAAGGTATCTATTTTGTTTTCTGCTGTTCCAATGCCCTTTATCAAAATGTCCCTCTCCCTCTACAACAATCCTTGATGCCACCTTTACATGTAGTAAATTTTTATGTGTTTAAATCTATTTCTAGATTTTCCTCTTCTGTTCCTTGAAATGTCTGTATAATCATGAATGCCACTGCTATAGTTTGGCTCGAGAATATTCCCCAGAAGTCCTGTCAAAGGCTTGGCCTTCATTGTGATGCTTTTGGAAGGTGGTGGAAACTATTAAGCAGTGGGGCATTGTGGGAAGTTTTAGGCCACTGGGTATATGGGACATGAGTCTTCCTCTTTCCTTTCCATCTATGAAGGGAACAGGTTTTCTTGCCATATGCTTCTGCTATGATGACTCACCACAGCCCAAAGGCAAGTGGCCAACTGATCATAGACTAAAACCTCCAAAATAAACTTTCCTTCTTTTTTAATTGTCTCAGGTATTTTACTACAGTAACAGAAAGCTGACTAATGCAACCATTGAGCTATACCTTCACCCAAAGATTAAAGTAAGTTGATAACTTAGTGGTATTTAACACATTCACAACATTGTGCAGCCTTCATATCCAACAAATTCCAGACCATTTCCACCACCCCTCAAAAATCGCTGTAGCCTTTGTGGTGGTTAATTTTATGTCAGCTTAGCTAGGCTATTGGTGCCTGGCTATTTGACCAAACAAGTCTCGATGTTGCTACAAAGGTGTTATTACCATTTAGTTAAGTAGGCTAAGGTCTTCTAGGAGGAAGGAATTCTGGCTTAGTTTCTAGTTTTCAGATTCAAAACTGCAATATCAAACTCCTGCCAGGATTTCAGCCTGTTGGCCCTAAACATTTCCAAGCTCCCATAATCAAATGAGCTAATTTCTGAAAATGTTATCAGTCTCCCCCATATATAAACATATGCACTCTGTATGTATATACACATGCATCCTGTTTGTTGTTTCTCCGGAGAACCATAATACATTCATTAAATACAACACACACTCCCCATCTTCCCTTCCTTTAGCCCGTGGCAACTACTAATCTGTTTTTGTCTCTATGGATTTACCTATTCTAGGCACATGCATAGAATTTTAAAATATGTAATTTTTAAGTTTGGCTGCTTTTGCTTAGCATGTTCTCCAGCTTCATCCACACTGGAACATGTATCAGTACTTCATCCCCTTGGGCGGCCAAATAGTATCCCGTTGCATGTGTACCACTTCTCTCATTGATGGATATTTGAGTTGTTTCTACCTTTTGGCTATTGTGAATAATACTCCAGCTCTTACTTCATCAGTATTTGTTTGAACATTTGTTTCTAGTAGTTCTTTTGGGTATGTATCTACAAAGGAAGTTTCTTGGTTAAATGTCCCTTGTTTAACTTATCAAAGACCTGACAAACTGGTGAAGTAACTGTTCCATGCTACTTTCTCACCAGCATTGTACAAGAGTCCCTGTTTCTCCACTTATATTCTGTTGTTACTATGGCCAACCTAGTGAGTGCGTGGTGCTATCTCATCATGGGTTTGGTTTGCATTTCTCCAATGATAAATGGTGCTGAACCTCTTTGCATATGTTTAATGGCCACTTATAAATCTTCTTTGGAGAAATATCTACTGTAGAAAATCATCGTTACCGTGTTTACTTTAAAGCCCTCCAACCTCTACCTCTTCCTGAGATTTATGTTAGTGTCTTGACAGGCCTTTTTGTTTTTATAAATGCACCAGAAATTTTATGGCAGCCATGACTCCCTAGCAAACTGTGACAGGACTTCTAGATGCCATCTTGCAGTTTTCCTAAGCTTCTTTCACATCATGTGAATACAACAACTGTTAAAAATGTATTTAGATTCCATTAGGGTACATTTTGCTATCACATCGATGTGTCTTACTAATCATTTCATCTCCATTAGATGTCATTCGTGAGCAGTTCTTAGTAGAGAACAAGACTAAGAACCTTTAGGTGGTGCTCTCTGGTTAAAAATATCCCTCACGCAACTTCAGTGCAGCACTCTGTTGCAAGACATGGCTTTTGTTTTTTTAAAGATGATCTCCCAGATAGGCTGAGTTCTCATACCATGGCTATTGTAGATGCTAATAACCTGCTCCTGCTCCTCCCACCCCAAGCACCCCTCAACTGACACTGTACCCTTATTAACTGCTGCTAGTTATGCTCCCCAAAGAAGCCCCCAGCTGTCACACAGTAAACCTCTTTTTCTGTGGCATAGTCACACCTTCCTGGTAGGACCGTGGCTTCCCTTGTATCCAGGTGCTAATAGCCTGTCCTAAAGCCAGGCTCTCCCACATATCGCTCCCCCAGCCTCAAATTCAGGGCTCCCACCTCCTTCTTACTTGCTTATCTCCTTGACTTCCTAATTTTTGCCCATTTTTCTGCCAACCGTTCATGATATATTCCTAGACTATCTTCTCACTTCTTTCTTCTTTTCTGGTTCCAAAGAGGTCATTTGGAAGAACTGCCTCCTGTCTAAATATATTAAAATGTATGGCTTGGGGTACAGCAGAGTGGTAAAGTGCTTGCTTAGTATGCAAGAGGCCTTGTGTTCATCCTAGCACTGCCAAACACACACACACACACACACACACACACACACACACACACACACACTGTACTGCCCCTGGAAAAGTCTTGATTGCATTTACTATAAAACCATATCATCTGCCTCTAAATCCTCATTACCTCTATCAGTCACATCTCCCCCAACACTTAGTACCTTATTCCTAAATTTATTTCTCACCTCCAGAGCACCCCTATTTCCCTAACAAACCTTGCAGGACTAGGTCTTCTGTTATATACCTTGCTATTAAAAAGACAAAAACAGAAAAGTCCAACTTTAAAAGTATTTTAAAAGGTTATACTTTCCAAAGCTTTTACTAAAACATTTATTTTTTAAACAAAAATATACATTAAATCTCAGATTTACAACATATAGAAATAATTTATCCAAAGTAATTTGTATTTTAAAATTATTAATATTGCACCCAACAGTATAAGTCTTTGACACATTTGCATTGTCAACCTTTCCCACAATTCAAAATTCGGGAGAGAAACCTATAACTGACAAAATTACACAAGCTAACTTTTCTGTATAAAATAAAAAGAAACAAACATACAATTCTTTTTATTTACAAGATAGAGTTGTAAACTTTCAGAAATTTACTTCCATAGAATAACCATGAATTCTTTTATCACATCTAGAAAATGCACTATAAAATTATAATTAAATTTTTCTGTCCTGTATGTATAGAAATGTACACTTGTGATTTCTTCATAGGACTTCAAAGGAACATGACAGTGAGTACAAGGCATAAAATGTGAAAAACATTTCAAAAAATAACTTCTACCTTATGGAGGAGAATATTTTCCATAACCACCTGGAGTTATCCTTAAAGTATGAAAAACAGGTGACAGAGTGCAGTTTCTGTTCAGGGCCCTTGTAAAGGATTTTGCACGTAGGCAAGCGTAGAAGTTTGCTTTCCAAAATTCAGCTCTGTGAAATATTCCAGAATTTATCACTGATATCCTCAGGTTTTATTTGTATGTTTATATTTATCTCCTCCACTACATGCTGGGTCTTTCATTTTTTTATCCCAAGTAAGCAAAGGGAGGACTCCCAAAAGATACCCTGGGTTTTAGATCTACTCCTCTCTGTAGCAGCAACCTTTCATTTACTGGTTAAATGAGACCGGATATCCAGTGGGTTGAGGAATCTAAAATAGTGCCTTCCTGGCTCCTTCCTTCTTCCTTTCCTTTCTTCTTTCCTTCTTTCTTTCTTTCCTTTCCCTATTTTTGAGACAAGACTCTCACTATGTAATCCAGGCTGGCCTCAACCTCATGGCAGTCCTCTCACTTCAGTCTCCTGAGTATTAGGCCCTAGAATTACAGGTGTGCACCACCACACCTCGCTAAAATAGTGTCTTCCTCTAAAGGGAGCTACAACTAAGTTTTTTGGTAGAGATTTTTTAAAATAAAAAATTAAATTAGTAATTTACACATAATAATCATATATATTTATGGTATACCATCTGATGATTCCTTTTATTAAAATAGCATGTGGGGATTGGACCCATAGTCTTCTGCATGGTGCTGTACACCCCCAGCCTACATGTAATAGTTTAATAAGTGTACACACTGTATTGTGTCTAGATCATAGTTTTCCTGTCTCTTTAAACATTTATCTTTCTGTAGTGAAAAAAATTCAAATTTTTTTCCTTTAGCTTTTTGAAACACATAGTTCATTATCAGTACAGACATCCCACTGTGCAACACCAGGATTTATTTCTCCTAATTGTAATTTAGTACCCATTGATAATATCTTCAGTTTTTAATAACTTTTGTAAAAAGCGTATAAATCATGGTTAGGACTGGCATGTAGTTCCGTAGTAAAGCTCTTTCCCGGCATGTGCAAGGCTCTAGGTTCAATCCCCAGCCAGCCAGCCACCCACCCACACAAACACACAGACTTACATGCTTTACTAGGGGGAAGAAAACCCCTGAGAAATCCATGCTGAAGATCACAGACAGGAAAATTTAGTCGTAATTTTATAACGTAGGGTCATTCAACTGAAATATAAGACATCTTCTTAATTCCGTTGTCCCAGATTGAGTCTGGATTGAAACATTCCCTTTGAATCATAACGACCATAACCAGCTGAGTAATAGATTTTCTTGGCGTTGCTATTGTGTAATAGCCCAACCCAAGTAGTTTGTTATAAAAATTATTGCCTTCAGTATCTTTGTGACACAGTCACTTTAAAAAAAAAAAAAAGTCCTGAGAGTCTTCCATAAAAAAATAGACATTTCTGGGGTGCGGCTGTTCAGCCGCGGAGCAGCCCTCAGCTCTCCACCTTGCGCCTGTACTCAGCGGCGCCCGGCTCCGCGATGCCCTCATCTGCGATGATGGCGTCCAGCGGCGCGCGCTTCCGGCGGATGCTGCGCCCGGACGAGATGAGGTCTGCGTAGCCCCGCTGGTGCGAGAAGGCGTAGGCCGAGCGCCGCGACGACGCGCCCCGACGGAACACGTTCTGCCGCCGCTGCCACTGCTCCTCCGCCTTCAACCTCTTGCGATGTTTCTGGATCTGGAAAGGTGCAGAGATGAGGGAGGGCTGAACATAGAGGTCTGTGACCCAGAGGATGCCTGGCCCAAAGGAGTTGGGCAGAAACCAGCCCAGACCTGGCACCTCCACCCAGATGCAGGTATCACTTCCTACTTTATAGAGGATGGCATGGAGAGCGAAGGTGTGTGTGTGTGTAGTGTGTGTGTGTGTGTGTGTGTGTGTGTGTAGTGTGTCTAAGGTCTTGCAGCTTGAGCTAGTGCTCTTTCCAAGTCCCAGTTCAGACTGCCACAGATTGAAAACTGTAGATCTGGTTTCCCCACTTACTGCCCACTCTTGTCCCTACCCGAGGGCTAGGTGGGCCAGGGTGGGGAGTTACTGAAGGCTGTCTGTTTTCGAAGGAAGCTGATGGAGTACAGGTACCCCTCTTCCATAGGCCACATTCCTCACGGGCCTGAGGCTGATTGATTGCCCTTATTAGGTATTAATCCAAGTACTGGCTTTCGACCTAGGAGTCCTGAGGAAGTGTGCTATGGCTCTTGGATAAAACATTTTGGGTTCCTGAAGGAAAGTTACAGAATAGTTAGACTCTTTTCTTCCCTTGCATACTGACATGTTGGGTGTGATGCCAGGAGCTGCTGTAGCCGCCTTCCAGGGCAAGATGAAGCTAATAATGAAGACAGCTTCAAAGAGAGATGGAAAGGACTCACTCCTTTTTTGGCAACTTTAATTTGTTCAATCAGCTGAACTCCTACCCTGATAATTATTACCCAAGTGGAAACGATACATTATTGTCGAGACATTTTGAGTCACAGCTTTCTGTTACTTGTAATTCAAAGAATCCTGCTCCAAGAGGGAACATTCTGCTTTAAATAAATAAAGGGGGGTTATAAACCCTCTTTATATGGCAAAATGTTAACGTAATTGTTAAATTGAAAGAAGAAATATATGGGGCTTCATTATTTTACTCTTTTTTGTTTGCATTTGGGTATTTTATATTCAAAAGCAAGCAAACAAAAATCCCAGCCCTTGGCATATTTGCAAGATGGAGTTACAGAGAAAGAGGAGATTCATAAAAAGCCTTCCAAGCAAGCGTCCCATGTTCTTAGATGTCTGCAGGAAAGGTGCTGTTGGGAAATGTTTTGATTCCTGTGAGGGATATACAGGGTTAGAGGAGGACTGTTTCTGTATACCTTATCACTTTCTGATGGCCAGATGGTCATCGACAAGAAACGGATGGCAACAACAGGCAATAAACATACTGCAACAGTCAAGATGATAGTCAGCCAAATGTACGGCTGCCTCAGAGCATTGGAAGCTGTGCCTGGAAGGAACAGGGGAATAAAGCACAGAGGTTGTTTCATCCTGAGTACATAGTTCATATTTCCTAACCACACGTGGATTATCCATGAAAAAGTCTTACAGCCAGATTAGCCTCCCCAAAGTAGCCCATCACTGCTCGAGGAATGGACATTTTAAAGCACATTAAATGGGCTGTGGATATAGCTCTATGGTAGACTTCGCCTACCATGCACCAGGCCCTGAGTTCAATCCCCAGTACCATATCCATCACTTAATCAAACCACATAAAGATAAAAAAGAAGGTGCCTTTGCTAGTACTGCATTAATAGAAAATGCAAAATTAGAGTTTGGGGTTATAGCTCAGAGGTGGGGTATATGCTTAGCATGCACCAGGCCTTGTGTTTGAGTACCAACACTCACATGCAGCAAAATTAGGCAATCAAAATTTCTGAATATTTTAGGGATTTACAAAAGCACTTTCCAATTTCTAGTTTTGTTTTACTACACATATTAAACAAAAAATTACCACTGGCAGTCCAAGGTGTTTTATATAGGTCATACCATTCATTCAACTCTAAGAATTGAGTATCACCCTCTTGGCCACATGAAGACACTAAAGTGAGGAAAGGTTGTATCTGCCTAACAGATTAGTAACAGAACTAGCTATGACATCACCTGATTAAAACCTGCTCCTGACTGACTGGAGCCATGCTTTTCCCACTCTAGTTTGCCTTCTAGATTTTTATGTCAAAGGAAGTAACAATTTAATCCTATAATATAAACAGGTAATCTGTTGATATATACTACTCAAATATCAATATCTGTAGCCAAATCTATCAAAATGTTTTCTGTACTTATACTCTTAAGTTTATGAAAATAACATTTTTTATTTTTAAATGTGCTTTTTACAGTCCTGAATGCATCAGATTTAAAACTATTTCCTACAGGAACATTCTACGTGCCTGGGCCCCAAGGTTTTCTTTTTCTTTTCTTTTTTATTTATTTTTTTGTCTTTTTGAGACAGGGTCTCGCTATGCAGTTCAGGCTGGCTTTGAGCTCACTTTCTAGCCCAGGCTGATCTCATCCTCCTGCCTCAGCCTCCCAAGTGCTGGGATTACAGGCGTGCACCACCACGCCCGCTAGTTTTTAAAATATAGTCAGAAAGGAAAAACACATCATGAAAAAAATAAGCCCCATCATAAGAAAAGGCTTATCACAGTAACTGTGTCAGGGCCCAACAACTGCCCAAAAATCACCAAATCTTTCACAGGGAAATAAGTTTATGGGGATCTTTTTCATAGTGAGTCATCTAAACTATTTAAATTAAGAATCTTATAAATTCCAGTTTGATATTTTTTGTATTTGTTATTTATGATACTTATGAAATTTGTATCAGTTGAAATTCATTCTAGCACTTGTCATCTTATGTTTATACAGTTGTAATCATTGGCTACAGAACTATTTTATTTTTTACTATTGCTCTATACGCATATCTTCAAAGATACAGCCAACTTTTCAGGTGGTATTCCATCATATTGGTATGTCATAGTTTGATTAGCTACTTTAATATTCTTAGGGTTTTGGGGTATTTCCACTTTCTTCATTTTTTCATAATTAGAAATGTTGTGGAGGTACATTATTGGTACAAGTCACCTTGCTAAAATTTGGTATGTTTTATCTTAGGGTATTTTCTTCAAGTGGAAATACCTGGTGAAAATGTATGGAAAGTTTGATACATTTTTCAGGTAGTGTCTTGGGAAGATTACATTATTTACATGTATACTTAACTTGCCAGTAGTCTACCAATACTTGGTTTTATGTTCGAAAAAAGGCTTTTGTCTAACCTTTCAGTCATTACACTGTCCAACAAGTACACAATTGTACATTAACATTATTTTTACTTGCTTACCACCTTCCCAGCCCACCATGATCATTCAGTTTCCAGTTAGGACACTAATTTTTACTAGAAATAATTTACCTTTTATGAACTTTAAAAAATTTATACAGAATTTATGTCAGCATCTACACTAAGGACATTTGTCTGTACATTTATTTTTGGAATTTAGAAAATACCAACCTGTAAATTGAAAGGCAGATGGAAAGAGAACATGGATTCCAGCACTGTGAAAGTCAAACATGATGCCAAAATAAAGTGCAATGCTTCCAAAAATTGAAAAAGCATTCACAAAAGTCCAGTAAGAAGTATCCAAGCCAATCTGTTGGGAAATCAGTGAAAAACATTTTAGGAAGTTAGCAAGAAAGAAGAGATCTAAGAATTCTGAAAATGGAATTTGACAATTTAGGCATGATGAAGCTGGAATCCTGAACCGTCAGAAACCAAACCATCCCTGACTCAGGCAAGAAAGAAACAGTGCTTGCGACAGGGATGAAAATAGCACTCACTGTAAAGAGGCCGAGGCTCGGGTGGAAGGAGAACAGGCCGTATACACACTAGCCTCTGTACAGATGTGCAGGTACCAACAGGCACCAAGTAGTCAGGAAGGCCACGTACCTGGAAATTGACTGTTATTACTAGAGCTGAGGCAACCGTGACTGCAAAAGACTGGTAGTCTGAAGGTGCCTCTCCATCCTGCCCCACAGTTTGCAGATAAGCTCCAAGAGGGATAAAGAAGAGGACCATCGATGTTAACACTCCATGCAACAAGCTGACGAAGAATCTCTTATAGTTGAACAATAAATCTCTTTGTCCCACTACATACAACCCAGGGAATCGGAGGCTTAGTTTATCACTTACATCCTAAAGGGGAAAAAAAAATTAGAGTCATGTGTTGTCCAGTGGGTCAAAGACAGATGGCAGAGACATTTTCAGCAAGTTTGTTGTTAAGTTTTAGAAAGGCAAGCACTGAATGAGATGACAAATCCTGTTGAATTTCTGTGAGGAGGGATCGGTATCATAATTTTAGTCTACCATTATTTGATACTTAATGCAGAAAGGGACTAGGTAGAATTTTATCATTTTGTTACTTAGGGAAAGAGAATAATGTCAAAAAAGTAAGGAGGCTATTTTTTTCTTCTTTCACCTTTTGAGAAAATATATATTATTTCAAAATCTTTGGAAAAATACGTTCAAATACATGTTGAGAAGTTAATCCTTAATTATCCCATTTTGCTTATTAAAGTACTTTCTCTGAGAATTTCTATTAAATAAAATGTAGACTAATTTGGAAATTAAACACATAAAGTTTGGAAAGTGTTAAAATTTACTTTTAAAGTAAGTAATTAGCATGCAGGCATATGAGACTTTTGGGCATCTAAACGGTCAGGTCTTAGTGTCTGAAAGGGACATTATGAACATTCTAATCAATGAATTCAACAGGTTCACAGAAATCCTCTTTTTTTCTTTTGTCCTTTTGAGACAGGGTTTTGCTATGCAGTTCAGGCTGGCCTTCAACTCACTTTGTAGCCTAGGCTGGCCTCAAACTTGCAGTGATCCTCCTGCCTAGCCTTCCAAATGCTGGGATCAAGGCGTGTACCACCACACCCACTAGAAATCTTCTTTTCGTAGTACAAAATAAGAAGCACAATAGGTGTTGCCTCACAACAGAATTGTACTAGGATTTCATCAGGATGAAATAAAACCTAGAAGATGCACTGATATCTGTGCTGTAACCTCTCTAGCAGGCATCAGTCTGTCCAGAGAAAGAACACCTTCCCCTCTCCCGACATGCGGCTCCTACCTGGTCAAGCAGCCCCATGAGGAGCACAGGCAGGCTGGAGTAGAGCACATTGTACAGGGTGATGAACCAGTCCTCGTATGCTGTCTGCAAGGGATGACAGGGGCTCTGGGTCATGTACAAAGACAACTGGCCAACCTGCCTTCTCTGAGTGGAAATGTCCCCAGCTCAGTGAGGATCTTGCCTGCCTGAATAAACAACGCTCATTTCTACCTGTAGGGGACAGGTATTTGTTTCTTCTATCCAATGGGCAGAATCTCAAACCTTTCCATAGAAACAAGTCCCACCCCCAACCCCACCCTCATAAGCATGGGTATATGCTCCAAAAAGATTTTGGTAAATGACTCTATTCTGATTAAATAATGATAGGAAAAATGTTCCGCATTTTCAGCCCCCTTTATTAATAAAATAGAACACTTAATAAAACTGGTTCAGAGGCATGTAAATACTATTCAAAATTTTTTATTACTTGTATTTTGCAAGGTGAGCATTTCCATGAAAGCATTTTTGTAAGACAGAATCTGGCTAAATATTTTAAAAAATGCTTCTGATAAACAGCACTAAGCACCCATCATTCCTTAGAGTGGGATAGAGGAAGTACACTCAGGACCGAGAGTCAGGAAGATGTCCCCTACTCTGAGTCACTGCCAGCCTTCAATCTGAGGCTTCTTGGACCCCAAGACATGGTGGCAGAGCACCAAAGATTTGACAGCTCTAGGTAGCAACTTAGGTTTATTTTTTACCAATGATATTTTTCTGCTATACTATCAGTATAACACAGAGGATCCCCCCATTCATTTCAGTGAAAACTGAAAACAAAATAATAGCAAATGGAGACATGACAGTAGAGAATGATATTTTTCTGCTATACTATCAGTATAACACAGAGGATCCCCCCATTCATTTCAGTGAAAACTGAAAACAAAATAATAGCAAATGGAGACATGACAGTAGAGATGTCATCATCCATGATTCATATAATCTCTTTATCCTTGGTCAAATATAATTTTACACTTCTTAGTTGACCAATTTGCTATTCTATTTTTAATAACACAGTAACATGGGAAAGTAACCTAAGATGAAGAGAAAAACGTAAGTAACCCCAAAGGTAAATTAAAAAAAAATCCTTAAAGTACCAGAAACATTCCACAAAAACCATACTAGATACATAACCAAAACTACAGAGAGGAAAAAAACTTGTTCTTCCAGAACTGGGGATTTATTCATTTAAGAGATGGGATCTACTCAGCAAAAATAATTTTAAAAAATAATATTGTATTACCTGTGCAGAATAGCCATTGAAGAAGGAGTACCAGAAATGAACCAAAGTAAATGCAAAGTTTTTGTAGAAGAAGTATCGCAGGAACTTGCACATCCTTATGTAAGACCACCGGCCATGCACGAGCAGCAGCCTCTGCAGGTATCTGAACTGGGCAAAGGAGTAATCGCTGGACATGACAGCTTGCATTCCTTCTTGTCCACTTATTCCAACACCAATGTGGGCAGCTATGAGGCAGAAGGAGAAGACACTATGGATCATAAGTGGATCTTAAGGCAAAGCATTAGATGACAAAAAAATGTGTTTATAGCAAAACAAAAAACAAAGACACACGCATTCATGGAACAATACATATAAAAGCTCTTGCTCACCATCTGTGCTTTCCAACTCCTGAACCCAGCTGAAGAGTCAGAAGTACAAGTTGCTAAACAAAGCCTCCATAAATATTTGTGAAGGGACCTCAGGGGGGTGGTGAATTCCACTGGGTTATCGGCCCTGTTTATAAGCCAAGCCTCCCACCCACAGGTAAGCCCTAGGCACCTGTGTGTGTCCTGTGCGTCCCTGCCTTGCAGACCACAGCCGAGTCAGCCATGGGCAGACACATAGTCTGTGCTAAATACTACAAACTGGCTCTCTTAACCTTTGTTCCACCCCTGTTCTAATTGGAGAGGTTCCCAGGTTACCTTGCAGGTATGTTCTTGTTATGAATGAAGTTCACTGTTTAGATCCACGTGTAAGTTGAAAGCAGAAGTGAATGGGAGCCCGGCATCCCTTCCCTTTTTGGTATTTCTACAACAGAGCTCATATCCACTCTCCAGCTGCCTAGATGTTGCTAGGCAGCTGCAAAAGCTTTTCAAATTGAGCAGCTCTTCAGAGGAAGCTCAAAAGCAGAAGCTTTGCCGAGTGACCCAGAGGTTAGAAACTCAGCCTGGAACCAGCTGCTTCAGTCCCTCAAGAGCTTTTCAAAGCACCTAGCTCTCTGTATTAACTGGTTTCTGCTTAAAGTACATACAGGGCTGTTTTCCTGCACTGAACCTTAACTGATAGAAAACCCAAGCTGGGTCAACCAGCCTCTCTCTTGTTCTTCTGGAATTAATGTCCAGATGTGTTTATGTCTGGAATTTTAACATGTAAATTCCTGAAATGTAGAATAAAGGTATTTTTTTCAAAGGGTCTGAGGAAAGAGAGAGAGAGAGAGAGAGAGAGAGAGAGAGAGAGAGAGAATGGGGTCAGGGAGACACAACTGACAGGTTCTGGGTTTCCAGCAAAATTCCAGGTGCTGGTTCCAACATCCTGTGGAGCCTTGGCTTCTTGGATGGGTGGCATGAGACATCTTTTTATTTTTATAAAAGAATTTATGTTTTCTTAAGCTTACTTTGTTTGCCCTCCTATACTATAATCAAAAGAGTTCTGTCTAAGACCCTCTTTAACTTTCAAAGGCTTATTTATTCATGGCCCACTATGATCTTAACTCATATTTGTATGTGTGTGCATGTGTGTAAGGGGAATTTCCAGAGTGGATAAAAATTAAAGTGATAATTTTATTCATCCTTGCAGTAACCATTAAATAACATTTTCAAATTAGAGAACTGTGAATTTTATCTAACTGTTAAAGGTCATGAATGCAAAGACTGACAGAAAGAAGAGAAAACGTGGAGAACACAACCTATTAGTGCATAAACACTTAAGAAGTGACTGCCAACGCCATTCCAATGAGAAGTTCAAAAATCTCACCCCAGTTGAGGAACCCAATGTCTGGAAAATTCAAAATATAACTCCAGTAACTTGTCCAAACTTATGTTTTCAATTACCCTTTGCAGTTCTAAAAAATAGAAGCTATTGCTTTTCATTCAGTATTTAAGTTTTTTTCAAAGCACGTCAATAGTTCTTATGACCACCTGTGGTTGCCAAACTGCTCCTTCCTACCAAACCATGGCCATCTTCCTTTCCTGAACAAGCCATGGAGAGAAATGTTGAAAGTCTCTCTTGGCTTTTGCGCAGAGGAAGAGGAATCCCTGGCCCAGGCCTTCTTCACTGAGCCAACAGAGAACATTTGAAATAAACATGGGCATGGTTCATAGTGTAACTGGAGGAAGCTGAGCAGACATACTGTAAGACAGCATTGCTTCTTGGTGGGGCTTTTGGTCCTAAAATCTTAAGTATAGGTCTGTAAATTTTTCTGATGTTCCAAATGCAGGGTGAAATGCCTCACTGGTAGGCACAGCTTCAGAATTCCTTACCAAACTGATTATTTGCCGATACATCCAGCTGTGTAAAACATATTCAGGCACAACACAGGCAGAATGCAGCCTCTCAGGGTCCATGAACCCTTGCTAGGGACAAAAAGTCACAATTTCCTCATTTCTAATAGTTGGATGATCAGATTGCTTTTAACATCTGAATTTCACTCTAGAGTAAGTCCCCAACTTACAAACATTCAAGTTGCAAACTTCCACACATGCGAACACACCTCACATTTGGTTTTTTTATGCGTCACTATATATCTGAGTGAAAGGTGTCTAAGACTCACTTTGTTGGACTTAATAAATGAATCCAACTTATAAATGTTCTCCCAGAACAGAACCCATTCATAAGTTGGGGACTTACTGTACTTCTTTGTGACTAACAAACAGTTTCTTTCTGTATATTGTTCTTGATGCAGCTGAAAGAAATGGGAGCTTTTGCAAAGTCAAAACAAGGAGCCAGGTATGATGGTGCACACCTCTAATCCCAGTACTTGGATAACTGTTAAGGAGACCTTAGTTTCCTCCATTTTCATCCCAAATGGCATTCCATAAGTTATATATAAAAATCCCTGAGCCAGGCAGGGTGGAGTGTGCTTGTAATCCCAGTACTTGGGAGGCTGAGGCAGGAGGATCGTTTCGAGTTCGAGACCAGCCTGGGCTACGAAGTGAGCTCAAGGCCAGCCTGAACTGCTTAGTGAAACCCTGTCTCAAAAAGAAAATAAAAAAAAAAAGAAGAAAAAATCCCTGGCATATCACAGAGCTTAATAATAATTTTGAAATAAGGATGAGCCTTTATAAGGTTTATACATATTGACTGTGTTCTACCATATTGCTATCAAATGTCCATCTCAGAGGGACAAAATCTTCAAGTCTGTCATACAATAAAATGGTGAATCTGTAAGGCAAACCACCCCCTGCTTCTTGCCTTCTCCAACATCTAGAAGGCTGTTATAACTGAATAAAAAGAATATTTGAGTTATCCCTTTTGGCACAGTTAGTTATGTTAAGGGCACATAATAGCAAATAGAGTGAAACTGGCTACAGATAAAAGAAAGAGATCTGACTGAGAGCAAAAAAGCCCGTTTGTACAGTAAGACAAGCACATGCAAAAAATAATGGAGAGGAATTAAACTGGCAGTGGTAACAGATATAGGTATAAAAAAAGCAAGAAGACATACGTCATATAGATGACTCCTGTTGAGGAAGATAAAGTTGGAATATTCTTAATATATATCAAGGAGGAGGAGGAGATTCTAAGAAAAGAAAGAGATGGACTTGTGAGTCACAAAATAAGCCCAGTTAAAATCTAGTTGTATATAATGCATTTAAGCTACCCAGCACAACAGGAATGCAAATAGAGGCACAGTCACATAATAATTTATCTTTGAAGTAACAAGGATGACATTACAGAACTGGAAATCACATTGGACAAAATAGTGTTGTTTTCAAATGGGAGAACAGGCCCAAGCATAAGCCCCAGCTGACACAGGCTGTTGGCAATAGGAAGAGAACAAGTATTCCTATCTCACTAGCTTGGATATTTTCATACTTAAGTGGAACATCCCTAATTCAAAAATCCAAAATTCATAGTACAATGAAATCTCAAAATTTTGAGCAAGACTGAAAAAATTTATGGAAATATTCCAAAGTTGAAAGGCTCTAAAATCTGAAACACTTCCGGTCCGAAGCCCTCTGGGTAAAGGACACTCCGTCTGTACTCCCTTATTACCATGTAGGGAGGAAAAAGGAGCAGGACTCACATGTAGACAAGGACCCCAGGTACAACGGATTTGTTAAAGGTAGGAAAAAAGCCCCAGAGAAAGATGCTTAGGTGAGCAAAAATAATGTTTCCAAACAAATACCAGAAAGAGTTCAACAATTACGATTACCCCAGCAAAATTTTTTGCAAAACTGATTAAGTTTCAAAGTTTTTAAAAAGCCCTACAGAAATATGCAAGAATGAGAGGGGGAAAACACACTAAACATATTAAAAAAGAAGTAATGATAATGCCACTGAACAGAACGGATCTTCTACTTTCATTCTTTGAGTACTACTGTCACTCCCACAGCATGCACTGTAGGCTTCCTGAGGAGAGGGTCACAGGCATAGCATGGTCAGATGCCTTTGTTAAATGTTTGCATTATGAAAATTTCTGCAGTGAAATCTGAAGACACAAACCCCACAATGTTCCTGCCATTTCTCCTCTCTAGAAGGCTGGGTCTTATGGGATACCTATGTGCAACTCACTTTTGATCATGTTCACGTCGTTAGCTCCATCTCCAATGGCCAGCGTGATGGCCTTTTTGTACCTCTTCACCAGGTCCACTACCATGGCCTTCTGCTTGGGGGTCACCCTGCAGCAGATGACAGCGCTGCACTCACAGGCCAGGTCCACAAAGTTCTTCTGCCGCTGCTCCTTCTTGGCTTCGAGCCTTCTTTTACTTTGGGTCCGCATTCGTCTCTCTTCTTCTGTCCTGGGGAACTTCAGCTTCAGAATATTACTTTTCTTGGTCTTTTTCTCTAGAAGAATTTCATTCTGTAAAAGCACAGATAGAAAGGATTACTAATCACTTTAGATTTTACACCAAGAGTACAATTTTCAAGACTTAGTTATGTAAAGGCTAGATCATGGGTTATATCACTGATTATATTGTTCTGATTATAAAACATATGTGACAAAAACTTACAAAACACAAAAATCTACAAAGAAAAACTGAAAATTACCCATTAACTGATAAACCAAGATAACCAGTTTTATTAATTTGGGATAATTCTTTTCATAAGTCCCATAATATTAAGTCTCAAATCTGGAAAATCAAACTTGCATTTATAGGCTAAGAGATTTTTAAATTGCAAGTTAATAAATACACAAAACCATCAAAAATGGATCCGGATGAACTGCTGTCATTTAGTCAAAGGTGCAGACACACTCATGGAACATACCAACCACGAACCGGTGATTATTAAGGCACGGTTTTCACCAGGTGGGAAAAAGGGTTCATGCACAACAGGTGCAAATTTTGCATAGACTCCACCTCTGTTTCTCTGGTTTTCCATCCGCGTGTGAAGAAGAGAACTGTGGAAAAAAATTTAAATGGTTAAAATACAAAACCGTAAAAAGCCATATACACACATACACACACAAACTTTATTATTTATTTATTTACTTATTTAGGTACCTAGAATCAAACTCAGGACCTCATGCTTGCTAGGCAGGTGCTGTGCCACTGAGCCATATTCCCGGCCCCTATATTTTTTCAGAATTATACTGAATACATAAAAATTTACCGTTTTTAAGTTTACAGTCCACGGAGTTGAGTATATTCACACTGTTGTGCAAACAACCTCCAGAAGTTTTCCGTGTTATAAAACTCAGACTCTCTGCTGTTCTCATTAAATAACAACATCTTGTTTCTTTCTCCTCTCAATCCCTGGTAACCTACTTTTAGGAAGCTGACAACCCTTGAAGGCTTATATATGTGGAATCAGATAGGATTTGTTATTTTGGTTTCTTTTTTTTTTGTTTTTGTTTTTTTTCCCGGTACCAGGAATTGAACTCACAACCTTGCACTTGCCAGGCAGGTGCTGTGCCACTGAGCTAAATCCCCAGCCCGCAGGATTTGTCTTTTTGTGACTTATTTCACTTACTATCCTTAAGAGTCATCTACACTGTAACCTATCACAATTGATATTCCCTTTGAAGACAAATAATATTCCATTGTATGGACGCACCACTGTGTGTTTCTTCGTTCATACACTGATGGACACGTGGGTTGCTTCCATTCCTTGGCTAGTTATGAAAAGTGCGGTTATAAACATGGCCATACATCTATCTCTTCAAGATCTGGCTTCCAACTTTGCGGAGGCTATGCCAAGAAGGAGGTTTGTGGGGTCACATGGTAAGTCTCTTTTTTTATTTTTTTGAGGGACCTGCATACTGCTTGCTGTAGTGGGTGGGAAGGTCTGGTGCTCCTTTTGTTTTTTTTTTT